AGGGCTAAACTGTATATTGCCGTGCCCATTCAGAATGAATGTATGTGGGTTTAGGAAGTACCATAAAAGTGTCAATAAAATATTTAGCTACTATGGTTATTTTCACAACATCCTGGTACACCTAGTTAATACTGGCTAGATGAATAAGGAGCATGGTGATGATATGTGATATTGTTTACAGATTCACTGACAGTGCATGAGAGCACAAGATATAATAATATTGATGACAATAAATAATAATGAAAATTTATAATGCATCTGTTCGTGGTGGTCCGATTAATTGAAATTTTTGAAGTTTGGTCGCAGTAACTATATGACCAAGCAATCGATCATGTTTTTTCATAATCAAACACAGGCAATTCTGGAACACTTTTTGCATTAACAATATTTTCACAAGGTTGGTTTTGTCTGTCACATTTCATGAGCACTACAAGCTCGTTCCAGTCATGATTGAATGATCATCTTAAAGATCCCGAGAAATTTATATTCCTAGCATACTTGTCATCCTTTCAAGATGTGCAATTTGCGAAAAATAAAACCAAAGAACTACATGAGTTTTTCTTTGTTTTTGTGCAAACAAAAATAACCAGGAAAATTTCATAAATGACGCTAACCAATTTTTTTCGATGATTGATCGGTTGTAATGACAATTCTAGCAAAAAAGACGATGTTCAAAATTCTAGGTTGGAACATCGTTTTTTTGCTAGAATTTTGCTAGCTTCCGCCATCATTCACCCGTATTTTTTCACTGCGCCAGGGGCCGGAGTTTGACAAAATAACATTTATAGGGCACCCTGTATCCATGCACTTGTACACACTCATGATGCTACAATAAAATCAGGCGATAATATACCATAAATACACATGGTGTGTTTGAAGAGTTAGTGGTAGGTGGTCTTTAAAAGATAGGTTTTCAAGCGAGATTTGAAACTTTTGAGAGAATCAGAAAGTTCAATGTTGACCACTAGGGAGTTCCACAGACATGGAGCTGCATGCCGAAAAGATTGCTTGCTGAATGAACCTAGGCGGATCTTGGGGACTGTTAACAGGAGCTGGTTTTGGGAAGGAAGAGCTCTGGTTGGGGTGTATTCTGTGATGAGATCCTTGAGATAAGCTGGCGTATGATTGTGTAGTGAGTGAGTGAGTATGGTTTCACCCCGCTTTTAGCAATATTCCAGCAATATCACGACGGGGACACCAGAAATGGGCTTCACATATTGTACCCATGTGGGGAATCGAACCCGAGCCTTGAAGTGACGAGCAAACGCTTTGACCACTAGGCTACCTCACCGCCCCCATGATAGTGTCCATAACAATAATCTAATAGGGACGGACAAGGACAGGGACCTGATCACTTCCTGTTGTAATGTTATATCAATGTACATACATCTATCAATGTGACTAGAAATAACCATGATGATAGCTCTTCTCATACTTGGGAGGGGGCAGATGCATCAGAATATTGACGACAGCCTTAATAAAATGTTCACAGCAACAGGAAATCTAGTAAAAGTTGTAATCGCCTTAACTAAGAGAGTGTTATTCATACTAAAACATCTGTAACATTTGATCAATTTCTAAAATGACATTGTGTAGCCACAGCAATTGGCCATGGGAGCCATGCCATTTTACACTTGTCAGGTGGGTACATGTGAACTTGACTACCTGTTGTTAAGCTTCCTTCATCGTGGAAGCTGCTGTAACTGAGTGTATTACGTAGCAGTCTTTGTATGCTGGTGGCCATTAGGGCTTTTGATACATATCATAGTAATTGATAATCATTAACTAAATATCCAGAAATATTAGAGAAGTAACTTTGAATAAAAATGCCATAAAGAAATCAACACATTTCTCATCACTGGTCAGGACTCCAGATAAGGGCTGTATCGGATAAAAAATAAGCATGTTACGGTAGGAAATAATTTAGTAAACGTAGCAGATACACACCACAGCAATGGTGTATGGTCTTAGAATCAGTTACAGACGTATTTATCTGAAAAAGTACTTTTTTATTGTTTATTGACCGGTTTACACAAGAGTAGCAACGTTGTGGTGTATATCAGGGGTGGAAATAACCCAATGCCCGAGGCCCCAGTCCAGTGTTTTTTTCTGTCTGGCAAACAAATTTGTATATCACGCTGTACCAGTGTCCAGTTGACTTTCCCATGTTAATTGTGTTGTTTATTTAAAAAATCAACAAGAAAATTGGCCGGTACAGTGGAAAAATTATCAGGGCAAGTGATTTTACATGTGCCACTGTACCGGACTACACTAGCAATTTTAAAGTTATTTCCACCCCTGCATATATGAAACGAAACAAAAGATTACTGATACTCCATTAATTTCCATTCAGTACTCTAAATATACACTAAAGGTTTTCCAGCACTCCTATATTGAAGAAATAAAGAGTATAATACTCCTGATGTTGAAAAATTATCTGGAGCCCTGACTGGTGAGTGGGGACATATTTATACATGGACTACTAACAAAACAGCATACTGACCATAAGTTAAAGCAGTCTGTGAATAAAGACCAAATTTTGAGCATTGTGTGATCAAATTATAACTTTATTTCATTATATAAGTTGATCTACAACTAAATGTAGAGACCATAAAATTTCCAAGTCCTGTGCTGGAATTCGAACCACAGACATTCTGATCCCAAGTCAGACGTCTTGTCCACATGACCATGATGACCAAAGAGGTTAACCCCATCAGCAAGCTGACAAGGTGAGGATGTCATCTGTGAGATGACTCCACGCCCTGCTACATACTCCCCCCGTCAACAGAAGGCACGTCCCGAGCCGCATAGGTTTTTTTTTGGGTACTGAGACTTACTTTGCTCAAATTTGATATGAACGTGCTCAGCCCCACGTTGGGCGCCAATGTAGCGGCCATAAAATTTCCAAGTCCCGTGCTGGGATTCGAACCACGGACCTTCTGATCCCAAGTCGGATGCCTTGTCCACATGATCAAAGAAGTTACCCCGTCAGCAAGCTGACAAGGTAAGGATGTCATCAGTGGGATGACTCCACGCCCTGCTACACAAAGACCCAGGTTTGATTCTCCAATAGCTGCATTGTGTGAAGCCCATTTCTGGTGTCTCTTGACGTGATATTGCTAGAATATTGTACAAGTGGCATAAAACCAAACTCGCTCAACACAAATTAAGTTTCGTTATATGGACCCGCCTATCCACAGTGCTTGTATTTGCCAGCAACGGTGACTTTACCACTGTTTACATTCAACACTGCATAATACAAGGTAATATGCTCAAATATACACAGATCATCATCACATCATCTTCAAAAATCGGCTCACAACATAACCAAGCTTGCTACTAGTGCTGGGGCAATATTTTAACATTCCTAATCAGGATTTCTAGATTGTGTAAATAAAATTGATTGGTGATTAATAGTGTCAGTGATTGAACGGACAGCAAGCTTGGAACATATGTTGAAACCTTACCATTTCCATTGTTGATACTGATAATTTTACAGGAATATTTATTTCAATGCATGAATTACACAAATTGATCAAATCTTCATTTAGAATCTGAAACTTTCCAGAATATAAATAAAATAGCTTCTCAATTTTACAGTTCCACCAACACTAGTACCCTCGCGTCATGGGTTTCCGTGGTATTAAGAAATTTACGACTATGAATATGATCGCTCAGATTGCCAAGTCATATAAACATAATATAGTGTTAGACGACATACCTTTGTATCATTTAATGTCAATAAAACACTTTTGTCATTCTGAAGTTCATTGTTGTCCGCATCGGACGACAGGCGGCCATTGTGCACAAACTCTGGTGACGTCATATGTTGTTTCCGTGGTATTTCCTTCAGATCAAATTAAGGGCGCACAGCACATGTCACAATCTCACACGTTGTCAACAGCCAATCCGGGAGTGTCAATGTAGGTTTACAGTAATATCGAAGTTGATAAATTGTAATACAGTAAACGATTTTGTAGAATTTTCACAATAGTCACATTTCTTCAGCATAAATTTCCAGTTCATAGAATATGTAGAGTTGATACAGGATACGTGAAATGAAAAGTGAAAAAACAACTTAAGAGATGACCCTATCGGGCTTCTATAGTTTCAAAAATAGAGCTGGGATTCCCCCCTTAGGTCACGTGATTGTTTTTATTGATGACATCAGCTAGCAGACGAGCGATGTTTGGAAAATTTTGAAGCTTAGTAAGTTTATAGAATATGTTTGCAAAGATCGCGCAAAAAATGCATTACGTGCTAGACATAAAGTTGCATTAGCTTTTAATAGTAGATGACTGTACGTACGCAAATTGATGGAAGTCTCAAATTTTGTTCAGACCCGTGCCGATCAACTGATGAACGTAAACAATCGATAGGTGGCGCGATTTGGCGAGTGGCTCGTGAGAAATTATGTCATTAGAAAATACCACGGAAACGTAAGTACCACGGAATCATATGACGGCATGGTACTGTTGAGTCTTCTACAAACCAAACCAACTGACACGATGGGAATATAATCAATACACACAGCATCTTGTGACTGCTTTGGCAGGTGTCAGGGGAAAGAGTTCTGCCCGTACCCCCCTTCTCAAATATGATTAAAACGCAATGACAGTTGTAGGATTATAAAAAAATCCAACCAACATTCAATAACGTGATGGCAAAATAGTAAAATAATACGATTATTTAACACAACTGAAACACCCTCTGGGAATAGAACACTATACTGCATCCACGAAAGACCTCATGACACCTTGGGGGTACGGGCGGAACTCTTTCCCAACATTTATGTTTTAAGGCGACTGTTCTCTGTAAGTGATCGATCATTCGATATGCTCACCCTGTCATCGGATTGGGCAGTTTCCATGTATAACTTACCTTTGGACGAACACTGTTGAAAGTTTTACAAAACGCAAATTAACATTCGCACCTGATTATATAGTCTCCCGATTACCTATCAGGATTCAGACAAGAAGAAACGCGATATCTTTACTCACGCAATATGCCAGCAATGTTTACACCGGCGATCTTCCCAGTTGCATCAGACACGTTTACCGTAATGAAGTACAACTTCCGGTTAAAGATGTCGCATTATATAAAGTTTAAATCCTGTTTGTAATTATACGGTGACATGAAAATATTTTGGACAATATTTCAGGGCCTATTTCAGTACCTTTTCAGTACGAATGTATGCAAATAATTCTGACACGTCGGATTGAATTTTACGACAACTGTAACGTGTTCGATCTCACAAGGTCAAAGGTTAACATGTGAGGCCTTGTTTTTCAAAGCGTACAACGTTGTTAGGGGTAATTCGTGAAGTCGGAAAGGTAATATACACCAACAAGACATAGAATGTATACAAAATAGTCCCAGTAAACCACACACGGGGTCACACAAACACAACAGAGCTAGTTAATAGTAATGTACACGAATAAGTGAGTCATCTTCGAGAGCCACGATGCAGTATACAGACAGATAAGGTACTCTGCATCATGATGCAGGGTCACGTCTTGACCACTTCGCGGCTCTCGGCTACATCATCGTCTGAAATCGACGAATCAGTTTTTTAAATTTCGGACGTCTAGTTGCATTTTCTGAAACAATAATATGGGTATATTAAAAAAGAAAACAATTCATGATTACTGATGAGGATGACCAGATCAATACGAGAGAACTGACACGTATTTTTTAACAGCTGCAGCAGAAACCACACATTGATATCTAGCTAAGATACATAGCGTTCACTGTCATGTCAGTGAAGGCTATGTATCTTAGCTAATTGATATCTAGTTGTAACATCTAAAGTGACACAGTTGTAGCCTACAACAGCTTGAGTAGTACAAACATCCCAGCAGATCTATTTCAAAATGTAATCAACACAAAGGATGGTGCTCCACCCTGTGGAAACATTGTCCTTGTTTGTTCATTAACTGCTTGATTGGTTCAGATAGTAGTTATGAGCGAAAACAGTCATTTGATACCAAGGAAGTGAACCAAACTTAGTTGAACTACCATAGTAAAGCCAGCTAAACGTCTTGTTCCTACCAAGGTATACACCGACGAACTAGAACTACCAATGTGTCTAAACTCTGATAAACTGATGAATATTCACCAGAGTTAACTAGTCCACACCTGAGTTCAGAGTCTATGTTTACACATGGGGCTGAAACTAGGTCAGATATTTGCCCAAAACATGTATAATGATTAGCCACAATGTAAACCATTTTGAAAGTAGATAAACAAGTTAGAATATTTCATAAGAGTAGATTTTACAGTCTAATATCACAATCAGGGTTAATCATTTGGTGTTATGGTATTATGGCATGGACTCTATGTAACCCAGGTCAAAGTTCTCTCAAGGATTACTACCTATTAGTTATGGAACTTATTAACCAGGTCAGGGACTGTTGGCAGTCTCCAGCTGTTGGTAGTTATGCTGTAATCTTTGTTCAGTGACCCCTGCTGTATGAGCACATGTCAATCATTGCGTGCTGGAACACAGTGGGTAATATGCTGCTTGTGGATGTAGGAGTTTCCTGAAATACACCAGAGCTGCAAATTAAGTATCTGCTGTGAGATATTGACTTGAACTTGAAATTCTATTGGTGGCTGCTAGACGCTACAAACGTCTCACGTGTTGTGCATTTCATTTTGTGCATTTCATTTTGTGCGTCACATGTGTTGTACATGTCGCTATTGACGAGTCGAGTATAAGCAGCATGGAGAGCGATAGTATGTTGAATGAGAAATTTAAACGTCAGGAGCATGAAAAGGACACAGGTAATATTAATGTTTTGATGGGGTGTTTGTTATCATTGTATCTTTATTTGGGGAGTTTTGTGTTTATCTTTCCGAGCATTTTAGAAGGACTGTTCTGCAAGCAATGCAATATGTTTACAGGTTTGAGAGAGGTTAGCTTTTTCTATAGTTTGGTAAAAAATAATAGATGGGTATCATATAGCAGAGTGCCCCGTAATAAGGTTGATGTAAAACTGTTACAAACAGGAATCTATTTTATGATGTTTTTATGCTTACAAGGTTTCAGATAAGTTCATTTTCTTGGACTTCGAGCATGTCTGCTAAATGTGAAACAAACTGTCATGAGATTTTTCCAAAATTTGTAATGAGCATGATGAAATAGAAGATTGTCATTTTAGGAGCTATTTTATAGAAGGATGAAAATGTCCTATTGTCATTCACCTAAAGCAAAATCACTGCTATGTATTTGTTACAGTCTTACATCACATCATCATGATTACTATCATCATATCTCTAAAGGGCGGTGGGGTAGCCTAGTGGTTAAAGCGTTCACTCATCATGCTGAAGACCTGGGTTCTATTCCCCACATGGGTACAATGTGTGAAGCCCATTTCTGGTGTCCCCCACTGTGATATTGCTGAAATATTGCTGAAAGCAACGTAAAACCATATTCACTCACTCATATCACTGAAGTTGATACTTAGGATTTTATTTTGTCGTGCCTGTAGAACTGTTTGTTTATTGACCAGTTTGATGATTATTTTGCATATTTGTCATGTTAATACAGGTATTGATCACTTACGTTCTGACATTGTGAATCTTTAGGTTGAACTAAATCCTTGTTCTGTTCATCTTAATTTGCCAGCCAAGCCACCAGCAGTTTGTGCTAATAATCTTTCTGCTGTCTTTGAATAAGTATCTCGTCCAGCATGTCCAGATTAGTAGGTCATCTTGGACAAAGGTCTATGTGAGCTTTTGTTATAGTGGGAGATTGTCTGGGATCTCTTTTAGATTTGGACTTTAGACTTTTACTGTTACACAACACTACTGTGACTGAAATTCTGTGTCATTGGTCTCAGTCATGTTTGTTCAAACAGTTCCTAAAACTAAACACTAAATTATGTTTAAATTATTGTTGCAACAGTATTTATCAATTAGTTTTGGTTTTGGTTTTCAATTTATGCTGGGTTTGTTAATGTAACTATACTTTGTTTCCATGGCAACGGAACAGATGTCCCAGATGTTTTATGTTATTTTGAATTTTGACATTTTTATTATTCAATAAACATTCAAAACAGTTGTAAGCTAAATATGTCTTTCTAATATATTGCAAAAACAATTTCTATCATCAAGGAGTGCTTTTCCTCAAGGGTTAAAATAACTTTGCATGAAAGGGCTTTTTACATGGTTGAACAAGGTAAAGTCACACTTAGAAATCAGTGTAAAAAGTACAGTTTCTTGTGTAGAAAATATTTACGTATTTTTAAGTGAAAAATAGACTTGGCACAAAAAAATCAGACAAACATATGGAAAATGATAAATATGAGAACATGCTCAATGAACTGAATATATTGTTTCTTTGAAATATATTCTTTTCTGTGGCAGACTTACATATATAACGGCACAGGCAGACATCTTTTCCCGGCAGCAAACTTTGAACAAACCCCATTTCTATCCCTGTAATACCCATGAAGATCCAGGCTAGAATTGGTCTTCAGTAAACCATGTTTGTCATGAGAGGTGGTGGGCCGGTGGGGTAGCCTAGTAGTTAAAGCATTGGCTCTTCACCCCGAAGACCCGGGTTCGAATCCCCACATGGGTACAATGTGTGAAGCCCATTTCTGGTGTCCCCTGCCGTGATGTTGCTGGAATATTGCTATTGTATCCCAGTTCCGTAGATCGATGCTCATGATGCTGATCACTGGATTATCTCGTCTGGACTCCAATATTTACAGACTGCCGCCATATAGCTGGAATATTGCTGAGTGTTGTGCTAAACAACAACAAACCAACCAGTCTATCCCTGTAATGTCTTCTGATGCTTTTGCGTATGTTAAAGGTGGATGCATGCTTGACGTGCTCTTTGTAACAACCATGTCGTCTTTCATAGATGTCACAGGTGGCTCTTGTCATCTTTGGCAATGCAATTCGCTGTGCAGAGTCGCCTCTCTTTGGTACCCCAGGAACCTATCTCGGTTCTTCTGATTCTGTTGTTAATTTGATTTGGAAATAGCATACCAAAGTCCATTTGCATCTATTTAATTTAACTTTGAAAACATTACCGTCGCATGATATTTTTTGCACAATGTGCTCTGACCATAATACATATTCTTAGTCAATGACTAGGAGGCACTGTGGTATACACCAGATATTGTTGTTCATTTTATGTTAATCTTTAGTAAACACTGTAAACAAGGTGAACACAGTAAACATGGCGAAAATGATAAACAACAACAAACTGTTTGATTTTTGTACCAAAACTGAGAACACATTGACAGGAGAGTTCAGAATTTGATATTCATAGAGTTGTCTCCCTTTTCCAGAGGTCAAGATGGGTTTGTGGAGTCAGATGAAGACCTGGTTCATCCTTCATCTGATCATCGGCTACATCTTCATTGTGAGCGGACTTATCGTCACCTTCCTCATGCTCTGTTCATGTGTCATTTGGCCGTTCAACAAACATCTGTACCGCAAGGTCAACGTCCTTTTGGCCTACTCCCACTGGTGTCGTAAGTATTACAGTGTATTTCGGTAATCCCTTTTCATGTTGACGCAATCACGATCCTAGGGCTTTACTTGACGCAGAAATGTGTGTCTGGTATGTGGACAGTACAGAATGGATGCAGAAAAAAGTCACAAATTGTATACGAGGGATGAAGAGTTCCATCCATTTTACCAAATTCTTGTCAGGAAAGACTGACTGACTGAATGACTGAGTTGGGTTTTACGCCACTTTTAGCAGACATGGGCTTCATAACATTGCACCATGTGGGGAATCGAACCCGGACCTTCGGTGCGACAAGCGAATGCTTTAATCACTTTCAAGAAGGAGGGGTGGTGGGGTACCCTTGTGGTAAAAGTGGCTGCTCATCATGCCGAAAACCCGGGTTCAATTCGCTACATTGGTACAATGAGTGAAACCGATTTTCTGGTTTTCCCCAGCTGTAATATTGTTGGAATATTGCTGGAATATTAGGGGTGGGTATTGCAGAGAATTTTCATACTGCGATATATTGCGATGCGAAAGCATGTATTGCGATATGTATTGCAATACATTGCATGAAGTATTTTTAAACAAAAACTACTTATAATCGAGTTACTTCTTGATTTTAGAGCAAAAACACAACAAAATCACTAGGCTTGATGAAGCTTTAATAACAACTTTGAATCTTGATAAAATAAAAATGTGAATAATATTTGGCACAAATGAAAAAAGGACATATCCAAACATTTCCGAGTGTTACGATGTTTTCCGAATGCAAGTCAAAATACCGGTTTTCGATCAGCGATCTCAATACGTATTGTTTTCATGTCTGAACCGGTAAATACCGGTAAACCAGTTATATTGCGCAGCCCTATGGAATGTTGCTGTAAAATTGCTGAGAGCGGTGTGAAAGCCTGAAATGTAGGGTTCCTGTCGTTCATGTAGTTACTCAATCTAGCAGTTCTGGGCCCCGTTCCTCAAAGTAATCATAGCGCCAAGTTGATCGTAACTCCCATACTTTAACATTGACTTATGATTGTCGTAGCGCTACAATGACTTTGAGGAACGGGACCTGTAGACTACCCCATTTCAGTACTTTGCAGAACGTTTATATATTTCCATAAGTACCACTCAGGCTTGACTGTGATCTCCATTGAACTTGTATAACTGGCTAATGAACTTAACATGGCCAATTTAGGTTATTCTGAAAATATTATGCAATCACAGTTTGTTGCATGATCAGTGGTATTGTCACAAAGATAAAGCTATACTGATTAGATACCAGGCCAGGTTTCAAGACTTTTAGAAATCTTAAGCAGAATTAATGCATAAATCAGAGGTACAGATACGCTGCGTATCTGCGTAAATTACGCAAATATTTATGTGAAAACTCAATTCCTATTAAGTCTATTGCGTACAAGTACGCTTGAATTGTTGTAAATGCTCAATAAATTTGATCTTACATGCATACACACAAAGAAGTCAAATGTTAGCTTGTGTACTGGTAGATAGGTAAAATATTTGAGGTATATTGAGAGGTTCTGTTTCAACACATAAACTGGGCAACTTGCAGTCTTTATTATCGTTTCTCATATGACAGATCAAATATAAATAACAAACACATAAACATACATTTAAACTTTATCAAATATACTTTTACAATTAATGGAAAATGGCAAAATATCCAAATGAGTTTGAGTAAGGCGGGTACAATTTATTTGGTTACTCAAAGGAAAATTAGTATACCCAATTGAGATGAACACTAGCAAGTACATAACTCAATGACCCAAAAATTTATCGGTAGCTCTGATAAATCGACAAATGGGTAGAAAAATCCTGTATTTTATCCTCAGGTGCGAATTAGCAAAGTATTCACATACCTCACATCATGGTTAAAAAAACGTAGCCATTTCTCGCACTATTGGTTGTCGTTTCTCGTGCTATTGGTTGTCAGGTCATGGGTTCAGGTCTCTGTCCAACCACTGTGGAATAACTGTCAGGTCAATACAGCTCCATATGCCCAATCAGCTTGTAAGTTTTTATGATGAGTATAATGAAGAAAATTAAACAAAGAAGCACAATACTGTTGCTGAAAGGTAGAGCTGACAATTGTACTAATTTGTCTCAATACCGTACCACCTGCTGGCATGAGTTCTAAATAGGCATAATGACCCCAGTGCCCATAGCTTGTTGATAAATGCTTCATGAAGATAGCATGGTTGCTCTATTTGACTGCTGTTGTTTAGTGTCATAACTCCTGACAGCAAGGGTTATCAGACATGTTATCAAGAACTAGTTTGCCTGGCCTCGGCTTGGTGTTTTTTGGACATCGAGTATTGACCCACATTTTTTTATCCTCTACTTTTGGTAATAATAGTTTTCCTTGCATATTGGACCCTGTGAAGATACGGGTTAGAATTGATCTTCAGAAACCCATGCTTGTAGTAAGAGGCGACTAACGGGATCTGGTGGTCAGGCTCGCTGACTTGGTTGACACATGTCATCGATCCCAATTGCGTAGATGGATACTCATGCAGTTGATCACTGGATTGTCTGGTCCAGGCGCGATTATTTGCAGACCCTCGCGATATAGCTGGAATATTGCTGAGTGCAGCGTAAGACTAAACTCACTCACTCTTTGCTTATTGAAGACATTTTTACTTTCTGGTTCAAGACTGTTGGGTATTTTGTATTTTTAAACCAATGAGTGAGCCTAAGTTTCCTTACCGATTGTAGTTTAAGGTGATTTTTTTAATTTGTTTCATGTGCCCCAAATATCGAACGTGTCACATAAACTCACGACATGGATAAGTATGTTTAATTAATGATAATAAATAAGCGAGAAATATAGCTTGTTTCTGCATTATTTACTGTAGCAGACTTCATGTCTAGGTGGGATGGTGGGGCAGCCTAGTGGTTAAAGTGTTCGCTCACCACGCTGAAGACCTGGTTTCGATTCCCCACATGGGTACAATATGTAAAGCCCATTTGCGGTATCCCCTCCTGTGACATTGCTGGAACATTGCTGAATGCGCCGTAAATTAAACTCACTCACTCACTCACCTCTCATGTCTTGGTATTCCCTGTAGTCTGACTGTCGATTTGTCAAGACATAATCGGATGCAAACTGAAAATCGTGATTTGGGAAATCACGCAGAGTTCGATTTTTTCACGTGTATTTTAACGCAAGTATCTGAAGATCAGTTGGGAAATGGTGATTCATTGTGCACACTGTACACCTGTCTGTACCCAGCTATCTGTCTAGCCCACCATTATGAAACTGGAATATTGCTTATACAGTGTTTCCCTGTTTGGTAAACTATATTCTCTTATTTCTCAGGGGACAGGGGTGGCCCAGTTGCCTGAAGGTCCAAAATTCTCTGTGCAGAGTTGCGTCCCTTGGGCATGCCAGTATCCTATGATAGTGGGTTTTGGTCCTGGTTTGTCCTGATTATGCTTTCTAGGTTTCTGCCAGCATGTTAAGGTTTCACTAAAGTGGTAAATGTGTAAGACATCAGTCACTTCATGCTTTAGAATAGGATAGGTCTTCAGCAACGCTGACTTGGTTGCCACATGTCATCGCTTCCCAATTGCGCAGATCGATGCTCATGTTGTTGATCACTGGATTGTCTGGCCCAGACTCGATTATTTACAGACCGCCGCCATATAGCTGGAATATTGCTGAGTGTGGCGTAAAACTAAACTCACTCACTCACTCACTCACTCACTCACTCACTCATGCTTTCCGCCGACATTAAACTGATACACAGTGATATACCAGACATACCGTGTCCGTATCACATTCTCTCTCTCTCTCTCTCTCTCTCTCTCTCTCTGTCTGTCTGTCTGTCTCTCTCTCTCTCTCTCTCTCTCTCTCTCTCTCTCTGTCTGTCTGTCTGTCTGTCTGTCTGTCTGTCTGTCTCTCAAGCGTTACTAATTATTAATTTCTGATTGTTCCAGATTTCACATTCCTGGCACAATGGTGGTCAGGCTCGGACTGTCTCCTGCATGTCAGTGAGGAGGATCTGAATATGATCGGCAAAGAACACGTTCTCGTCATCATGAACCACAAGTACGACATTGACTGGCTCATGGCCTGGATACTGGCAGAGAGATTCGGCATGTTGGGGGTGAGTCCAAGTCTACACTTTGGGAGCATTACTTCTTACAGTTTAAACACACAGTACTGGAAAGCCTCTCTTACTTGGAAACTGTGTTTGCCAGTTAGGAAAATACTGGTGCCCTCCTTATTAGGGCTGAAACTGTATTCCACGGTATTTTGCCTTCGGTTCGGTATATGCAATCCAAAAATTTGGTTTTCGTACCGTCATTTGATTAATCTTCTTAAACTTGTTCTTAATGTCTAGAAATCGAATTATTTTGTCAAGATCTATGAATTTCTTTGCATTTCTTTTCTTTTCTACATTATCATATCTCATATACCGAACCGAAACAGACCGAACTGAAGGCCTTGTACCGCAATACGTACCATACCGTGGTAAGAGCATACCGTTTCACCCCTACTCTTTATCTGTGTGTATAGTAACACCGTGGAAACCAATTGTTGAAAGTACCCCATTACTCAAGTTCTCACACACCGAACTCTTTATGTACATGATAACCCTCTGTAGCCTGATAATAACATGGAAGAATAACTACGAGGGGGATCAACATTTCTGGAATTGTCCCTTTCTGTGCCTGGCCATGTGGGGTCTCTGGGCTATGCTGGTTGTAAGAGGTGAACAAGTGCCTGGGGTGGTCAGACTCGGTGACTGCTTGAGGGCATGGCAGCTTATCCTAATGGTGGATCATTGCTTAAAATATCAATCACTGAATTCTTTCTATTATCACCCCCTGCTGTAGGGGGATATACGTTTGTGCTCCGACTGGCCGGCGGAGTGACAGTGACAGATTTTCTCAAAAACAGTTAGGGAAACCAAATTTGGTATGTGTTATGGTCCTCATCATGCGTTTCTTGATGTAGTTCAAGTCATCCCTAATGGTGGCAGATTTTCTCTAAAACAGTTATAGACAGGGAAACCAAATGTTGCTACACATTTACTCATGTTCTAAGGAAAGGCAAGCGCAGTTGTGGCTGCGGGCTTGTTCTTCATGACACCATAAACTGTAAGACTGCTCAGCCGTTCAACACAGTCTCATTTGATATACACTCCTTCATGTAGTGTACAGACACCCCAATCAAGCACTCACACTCTTTTCCGAATTCGATATTTCGGATAAATGTAATATCACCTAAGGGAAAGTTATCTATGAGGACATTTTCATTTCATTGTCGTTTCTGAGGTGATCAACATCAGACATCATGGTACACGGATGAAATAAGGAGAGCCAAGCAACTCGGATGCAAATCAAAATCAAATCAAAATCAAATTAGACATTTGTATAGCGCTCCATATATAGTCCTGCTCATGTGCGCTCAGTTGAATTGTCGTTTGAAGAGGATGTTTTTGAGACAAGATCGGAAACTGTTGATATTTTCCGATTTTCTGACATTTTCAGGTAATCCATTCCAGAGTACAGCACCCGCTGTGCTAAATGTTCTGTCCCTGTATGTTGTGGTTTGGACAAATGGAACATCTAAGCTTTGCTGACTAGCTGATCTGAGTGACCTTCCAGGCTTGTGAATGTTGACTAGTTCCTGGAGATGAATGGAGCAAGCCCATTAATGGACTTGTAAACAAACACAAGAAGTTTGAATACAACTCTGTCTTTTACAGGGAGCCAGTGTAAGTCCTTCAGGACTGGTGTTGTGTGCACATACATATGTGTGCATGTTATGAGCCTGGCAGCTGTGTTTTGAACATGCTGTAACTTGTCCATGTACTGCTGCTGTATTCCATAGAGTAGACTGTTGCAGTAGTCTAGACGTGATGTCACAAATGCATGGGTTAGGCATTTACTGATGGTGTGTCCATGTATTTGCTAATCTGTCTGATGTTCCTGAGGTGGAAAAATGCAGAAGTTAGAAAGGCAAATGAGACGCACTCAACTGACAGTCCACATTGTCAACCGACTTTTTGAAGAAGCTAAATTTGACCATTTTAAAACTGCAATTACAATTGCCACCAGTCAAAAGGAGGTATTCAGTGTTTCTAACACCTTGCTCTTCAAGAAGAAGCAGAGTGCTCTCCCCTCTCATACATCATCAGACAAGCTGGCTGAGACTTTCTGTTCCTTCTTCAGTTCAAAGATTCTCAAAATTTCATTTGAACTGGATGTACCAGTTCGACAGCCAACATGTCGACAATGAGACATTAATGACTACCACCCCAAACACGCTGTCATCCTTCAACCACACTACCGACTTCTTACTGAAGTTGATATGAATGGTGCTGCTGTGCTGATCCTGCTGGACCTATCAGCAGCTATTGATACCACTGATCCTGCTGGACCTATCAGCAGCTTTTGATACCACTGATCCTGCTGGACCTATCAGCAGCTTTTGATACCACTGATCCTGCTGGACCTATCAGCAGCTATTGATACCACTGATCCTGCGGGACCCATCAGCAGCTATTGATACCACTGATCCTGCTGGACCTATCAGCAGCTATTGATACCACTGATCCTGCTGGACCTATCAGCAGCACTGATCCTGCTGGACCTTGATACAGCACTGATCCTGCTATTGATACCACTGATCCTGCTGGACCTATCAGCAGCTATTGATACCACTGATCCTGCTGGACCTATCAGCAGCTTTGATACCACTGATCCTGCTGGACCTATCAGCAGCTATTGATACCACTGATCCTGCTGGACCTATCAGCAGCTATTGATACCACTGATCCTGCTGGACCTATCAGCAGCTATTGATACCACTGATATCAGCAGCTATTGATTGCTGGACCTATCAGCAGCTATTGGACCTATCAGCAGCTATTGATACCACTGCTGGATCCTGCTGGACCTATCAGCAGCTATTGATACCACTGATCCTGCTGGACCTATCAGCAGCTATTGATACCACTGATCCTGCTGGATCCTATTGATACCACTGGACCTATCAGCAGCTTTTGATACCACTGATCCTGCTGGACCTATCAGCAGCTTTTGATACCACTGATCCTGCTGGACCTATCAGCAGCTTTTGATACCACTGATCCTGCTGATCCCAAGGGACCTATCAGCAGCCACTGATACCACTGATCCTGCTGCGACCTATCAGCAGCTATTGATACCACTGATCCTGCTGGACCTATCAGCAGCTATTGATACCACTGATCCTGCTGGACCTATCAGCAGCTATTGATACCACTGATCCTGCTGGACCTATCAGCAGCTTTTGATACCACTGACCATGGAATTCTCCTTGCCCTTCTTGAAAACGTCATTGGAATCAAAGGTAACGCTCTGGCATGGTTCAAGGCATACTGAACTGACCGGTGCCAAACAGGTGTCATCAATGGCTCAACATAAAGTAAGCATCACCTTAAATATGGAGTTCCTCAGGGAACTCATGTCCCGAAAACAAGAACAACAGTCTACGGTGACAGGAGTTTCGCCAAAGTAGGCCCTGCAATTTGGAATGAACACCTACCAAATATCAAGCAAATCAATGACTTCTACACTGTTGCGGGGGTTATTGATGACCATGTCTTCTTGTTTACCTCTTAGTGCAGCAATAGGGAGTGAGTGAGTTTAGTTTGACACCGCACTCAGCAATATTCCAGCTATATGTATATAGTAAATAATCTAGTCTGGACCAGACAATTCAGTGATCAACAACATGAGCATCAATCTGCGCAATTGGGAACCGATGACATTTGTCAACCAAGTCAGCGAGCCTGACCACACGATCCCGTTAGTCGCCTCTTACGACAAGCATGGGTTACTGAAGATCAATATTCTAACCCGGACCTTCACGGGTATGTGCAGCAATAAACAGAATCTGTGGTTAGTTTGCCAGTTCATGGATTAGCCATCATTGGCCGAGTAAATTGTTATCATTGAATGTTATCTTTGAGGTTATGGGCAGAAGTGAAAATACCTCACTTGAGACAGGTTAAGCATTGTACGGATGAATATGTCATGTTTCTTCCCATGGAAGGTTCATTGTGTGTTGAAATAACTCTGAGTTTTGTCTCCGCAGGGCACCAAGATCTACGGCAAGGAGATGCTGAAGTATGTGCCTCTGATTGGGTGGGCGTGGTACTTCACCGAGAGCATCTTCCTCAAGAGGAAGTGGGAGTCAGACAGGAAGACATTAGTGGAAGATTTACAACGCGTAACTGACTATCCGGATGACTATTGGGTTACAGTACGTATGTGTGTGTGTGTTACGACTGAGTTACAGTAACTATCTGTGTGTGTAACTGACTATCCGGACGACTATTTGGTTACAGTACGTATGTTGTGTGTGTTACGACTGAGTTACAGTAACTATCTGTGTGTGTAACTGACTATCCGGACGACTATTTGGTTACAGTAATGCGGTGTGTGTGTTACACTGAGTTACGTTACTGACTGAGTTACAGTAACTATCTGTGTGTCTGTAACTGACTATCCGGAGGACTACTGGGTTACAGTAAGCACGCATCCGGAGGATGTGTGCTAGCGTGTGTGCGCGCGCGTATGTGTTACTACAGAGTTACAGTAACTATCTGTGTGTGTAACTGACTATCCGGACGACTATTTGGTTACAGTACGTATGTGTGTGTGTTACGACTGAGTTACAGTAACTATCTGTGTGTGTAACTGACTATCCGGAGGACTACTGGGTTACAGTAAGCACGTGGTGTGTGCTTGCTGCGTGCGTGCTGCGTATGTGTTACTACAGAGTTACAGTAACTATCTGTGTGTGTAACTGACTATCCGGAGGACTACTGGGTTACAGTAAGCACGTGTGTGTGTGGCGTGTGTGTTACTACAGAGTTACAGTATCTATCTGTGTGTGTAACTGACTATCCGGACGACTTATTTGGTTACAGTAAGCATGTTACAGTGTGTGTGTGTGTTACTGACTATCCGGAGGACACTGAGTTACAGTAACTATCTGTGTGTGTAACTGACTATCCAGATGACTACTGGGTTACAGTACGTTTGTGTGTATAACCAACTTCCTAGACAGCTACTATCCAGACTATTGGGATGCACTAAGCTTGTGAATGTGTTACCTATTGGTACAATGTTTTGGTTCAAAAGCACCCCCAAATATTTATGATTTAAAATGAGATTTTTAAATCACCCTTACTTTTTGTGCTGAAGTCTCACTGGGTGACAGATTTTCTGACTAATGAAGTGGAACATCCTGATGTCTTTTGCCAGCTCCTGCTGTTTCCGGAAGGGACGCGGTTCACCGAGTCGAAACACAAGGCCAGTCTGGAGGTATCCCGGGCCAAGGGCTACAAGGACATGAAACACCACCTGCTTCCCCGCCCCAAGGGCTTCATCCTCTCTATCAACGGCTTGAGGGGGAAAAGTAGGTTTCACATGTCAACTTGGTGTGAACACAGATTCTACCCAAACTCATCACAATCACAATCACATCCTTGTGTGAGCAGACTAAACGTATAGATTTGTTCAGGTGAAGCTCTTCTGTTCGATAGCCTAGTGGTTAATGCATCCACTCGTCATGATGAAGACCCGGGTTCAGTTCCCCACATGGGTTCAATGTGTGAAGCCCATTTCTGGAGTCCCCCCGCCGTGATATTGCTGGAATATTGCTAAAGGGGTATAAAACCATACTCCCTCCCTCCCTCCTTTCCTCCTTCCCTCCCTCACTCACTGAAATCTGTGTACATATATGACAGTCATAGTAGGGAACCGCCTCCGTGGTGTAGTGGTTAGAGCGTCTGCCCGGAGAGCGGAAGGTCGCGGGTTCGATCCCCGACCGCGTCATACCAAAAGACATTAAAATATGGTACTTGTTGGTCCCTGCCTAGCTCTCGGCATTAATGGGTACAAGGACTGGTCGGCTCGGAGTCAGTATAATATGTCTGAGTGGGGTATTCATGCTTCACTGCGGCATGGTATCTCAGTGAGCTAGCACTATAAAACCAGCTTAAGTCTGGGCTAGTACAAGCAGCCGCACATACACATACACACGCATGAACGTTGTCATATGAGCGAAATATTCTCAAGCACGATGTTAAACCCAATTTCACCTCACCTCACCTCATAGTAGGGCATCTCTTTGGTTCAATGCTGATATCTTGGGACAAATGCCTTGTATTGTGATTGAATTTCAAATGTAAATGCAGCTTCAAATACATTATCATATTTTGTTTCTGAGTTATAGTCTGTTTGCAGTGAAAACGTACCAATGAATTTCACTTTAAACAAAAAAGTAAATCGAATAAAGTGAAATTAAGATTGCAAATCCTCATAATTTTACCTTGCCAATTGAATATTTAAATCTCAGAATTTTATTCAACTTAGGATAAAAGTTGTTTAACAAATGATCATAGTTTCAAATCGCTATTATTAGTTTGTATTACAAGGGGTATGCACATTAAATGAAACACCGAGAACAAGTGGGGTTGGTCGAAGTTAATGCTCATCGCGTACCGCGTCTCACTGTTCCAACTACAGCTCTAAATTTAAGTTTTGAAATTCGATCATGAACCTTAAGGGCACATCACATTTGTTTGCTAGTGATTGATGATTAACTTTTAGTATCTTTAAATCCATGTTGGATTTTTATACATGATTATTTGCTTGATGATATCAATTGTCCTTTCAGTACCTACTATTTTGGATTTAACAATTGGATTTGACCAGGCGGGCCCAGAGCCGACGTTGATGAATATATTACAGGGAAAACCTCTGTCGTCTCGACTCCGTGTCAGGTAGGAAGGTTTACATTGGTTGTGTCATTAGCCGGGTTTAAAGTTTTCATTTGAAGATGATTTAAACCATACAAGAGGTTGGTAAATAATGATCCAACAAGTATGGGTTATCTTCTCTTAGTCAATGATACAAATGTCAGTCATGGTTGCAGGGCATGTGGGCTCAGGATATTTCATGTTGTGAGTGTTCCATACTTAAGCAGCCACATGGGTACAGAGGTACAGATACGCTGCGTATCTGCGTAAATTACGCAAATATTTATGTGAAAACTCAATTCCTAATAGGGCTTTTGCAAGTATGCTTGAATTTTTGTAAATACTCAATAAATGTGATCTTACATGCGTACACACAAAAATGTCAAAATCTTAGCTCGCTGACCGGTGGGTAAACAAAATAACTGTGGTGTATTGAGCGATTCTATTTCAGGACATGAACTTGGCAATCTTTCTTATCTCTTCTCCGGAGAGCGGAAGGTCGCGGGTTCGATCCCCGACCGCGTCATACCAAAAGACGTTAAAATATGGTACTTGTTGGTCCCTGCCTGGCGCCCGGCATTAATGGGTACAACAAGGACTGGTCGGCTCGGAGTCAGTATAATGTGTCTAAGTGGGGTATCCATGCTTCACTGCGGCATGGTATCTCAGTGAGCTAGCACTATAAAACCAGCTTAAGTCTGGGCTAGTACAAGCAGCCACACATACACACACACACACATGCACGTCGTCATATGAGCGAAATATTCTCAAGCACGACGTTAAATCCAATTTCACCTCACCTCATCTTATCGTTTCTCATATGACAAATCAAATATAAATAACAAACACATAAACATACATTTAAACTTTATCATATACTTTTACAATTAATGGAAAATGGCAAAATACCCAATTGAGTTTGAGTGAGATGAGTACAAATTACTTGGTTACTCAAAGGAAAATTAGGATACCCCCAACTGAGATGAGCACAAGCGAGTACATAACTCAATGACCCAAAAAGTTATCTGTAGCTCTACTGGTTAGGTTTTAATTTATCAAATAAATTCTCTCCTTTAACTTTCTTTAAATCTGAACTAATTTGAAATAAGTAATAGTTGGTTTGTGATTAAACGCCACACTCGACAATATTACAGCTGTATGGTGGCTGTCTATAAATAATCAAGTCTGGACCAGACAATCCAGTGACCATGATCATGAGCATTGATCTACGCAATTGGGATATGATGAGTTGTGTCAAGCAAGTCAGCGAGCCTGACCACCCGATCCCGTTAGTCGCCTCTTACGACAAGCATGGGTTACTGAAGACCAATTGTTACCCAGATCTTCACGGGTCCAAATAAGTAATAGAGCTGACTAAACTGACAAACTGAATTAGTTTAATATCTGTTTCTGTTAGGAATTGCTACTATCCTTCCAATAATACTGGCTAGTGACAATAACTACCTACTAGTATAGATGATTGGGGTACTGGATCAATCCACCCATCTAAGTTCACTTTGGACGTCATATAGATCTCATCAGAGGGTATCCTGGTCAGGTATGACAGCACATCAGTGTGACGACATTCACAGATACCAAACACAGATAACATTGTTCTCAATCAGTCCATATCAATTTATATCACAATGCATCAAGACGCTAACCTTCTCAAAAGTTAGCAAAATGCTGGAAACTGTAACAGCTGCTGTCTCTGTGTACAAAACACATAAAACTGAAAAAAATGGAAACACTTACATCAACCAGTGTTATATTACACCATAATGTGAAACTACTTCTTAAGCCTTGATAGACTGAAGGTCAAGTCCTGACCTTCAGTTCAAACTAGGGGCGGTGGGGTAGCCTAGTGGTTAAAGCATTCGCTCGTCATGCCGAAGACCTGGGTTTGATTGCCCACATGGGAACAATGTGTGAAGCCCATTTCTAGGGCTGTGATATTGCTGGAATAATGCTAAAGTGGTGTAAAACTAAACTCACTCACTCACTCATTCAATCTAAAATAGTGTTGGGAATTGGTTAAAATCTCATTGATGATTGGTTCATTACCACCAATCAATCATTGAAAATAATTGGTTAGCGTCATTTATGAAACTTGTTAAAGCACAAAAAAATAAGGAAAAAAATGTAGTTATTTTTGGGTTCTTGGGGCAAAAGTTCACATCTTTAAAGGATGACTAGTATGCTAGGAACATAAATTTCTTGGTGTCTTTAAGATAAATTCAATCATGACTTGGAATGAGCTTGTAGTGCTTATGAAATGTAAGACAAACCAACCTTGTGAAAAATATTGTTGATAAAAACAAGTGTTCCAGAATTGTTTGTGTTTGATTATGAGAAAACATGATCGATTGCTTGGTCGTTTAGTCACTGCAACCCATCTTCGATTATTTCAATTAATCGGACCACCACTAGTCTAAACTGACCTGAACTACCCAAGTGCCCATCGACTTCTCAATGTCATACCAATTACCCAAAATATTACTGCCCATTACCCTATTTTACCGCATATAAGACAAGTTTTTTCGTTTCTAGAATTAGTGTTGTTTAAAGGGGTTTTGCGTTATACATGACGTAGAAGATCAAACAGTTGTGTTGACTGACCATCTCAATCAGTGTCTGATAGCCACTGATAGTTTTTACAGTAAAACCTTGCATTTTGATTGAAATACCTGTTCCAAGAACCATCTTGATATATAAGCTTCTATCGTATCCAAATTCCTTCTTCATCGTATACATATTCTGCAAGATCATCAAAGATCTTCATCACTTCTGGCTCTCACACGACAATTAGCGGAAATACCGATGTGAAACCCAACTCTGTGACTCGAGCCATAGTGTGATATATCGGCCGCTGTTCCTGTGGCCGAATTATCTTTAAGAGATACCCTTGAAGATCCGGGTTAGAATTGATCTTCAGGAAACCATGCTTGTTGTAAGAGGTGACTAATGGGATTGAGTGGTCAGGCTCACTGACATAGTTGACGCATATCATCGTATCCCAATAGCGTAGATCAATGCTCATGCTGTTGATAACTGGATTGTCTGTTCTAGACTCGATTATTTACAGACTGCCGCCATATTGCTGGAATATTGCTGAGTGCGATGTTAAACAACCAACTAAACCAAACCCAAATCTTCTTGTAATCACTACATGGGTGACTGCCTCCGTGGTGTAGTGGTTAGAGCGTCCGCCCGAATAGCGGAAGGTCGCGGGTTCGATCCCCGGCCGCGTCATACAAAAAGACGTTAAAATATGGTACTTGTTGGTCCCTGCCTGGCGCTCGGCATTAATGGGTACATCAAGGACTGGTGGGCTCGGAGTCAGTATAATGTGTCTGAGTGGAATATTCATGCTTCACTGCGGCATGGTATCTCAGTGGGCTAGCACTATAAAACCAGCTTCAGTCTATGCTAGTACAAGCAACCGCACATACACATACACACGCATGCACGTCGTCATATGAGCGAAATATTCTCCAGAGCAACGTTAAACCCAATTTCACCTTACCTCACTACATGAGTTCTGTCAGATACCATTTACCTTACAACTAGTTCATGGTATGAGTGAACTGTGCCTGACAGTCATGAGTGCAGTAGTCTGTTTCTTACACATCCACACATCTCACTGTTTTCGCATCAAATCAACTTTTGTTTTGTGTACTCCATGAACTCTGTTTACAGGAGGATTAATCTAGAAAGCGTCCCTGTTGACACAGATGCTCATTGTGCGGAATGGTTGAGGAATCTTTTTCATGAAAAGGTATCAGTCTGACAACCTGATGTGATGCAGAGATGCCAACCTCTACGAATTTTAACCTCAAACTACGCCAATACGACTGTGCTAGAAATTCTAAGAAATTCGAAGAAAGTTCATTAATGTTTGGATATTTAAAAAACATATATTTTTGTTGATTACCGGTAAATACATTTTCGGACTTCACTTACCTTCCATTTATCAAATTAAATGACATATTTGAACTGGAATCATTGTAAGTAACAATGAATTTATCAAAATTGTCTGTTAGAAATCTGAAGCTGATTTCAATACCTTTGCAATTTGACCCACTTATTGTGTATCGGCGGAAAATGATGATCCTATCAGAATGATTTAACCAAGTGACCATTCTTTCCGTTCGATTATATGAAACCTGTATGTGAAATTAAAGCTTCACTCTTGATTAGGGTCATATTATCTTTCTCAGAATCCATCATGATTTTAAGTATTTAGTTGACTACCAATTTTACGGTAAAAATACTAATTTTGAAGCTTGAAACCACTATTTGCAGCACTTTGGGGTTGGCATCTCTGCGTGATGTAATGGTCATACTTAGTAAATTAGAAGATGGAGTAACGTTGTAGTAATGTAACTGACAAATATTTGCTGTAAACTTCATCTATAAAGAAATCAAAGGGACTGTTAATTTCAGGTTGTTGTAACCTTAGTTCATTATATACATTTTGACTGAAATATGCAGCAAATGTTTGGGACCCCCCAAAATAATTTGTTACGTGAGTATGTCGATTATATGAGTTGACCGCCTCCGTGGCATAGTGGTTAGAGCGTCCGCCCGGAGAGCGGAAGGTCGCGGGTTCGATCCCCGACCGCATCATACCGAAAGATGTTAAAATATAGTATTTGTTGCAAGGATTTACGCGAATTCCTGCGTCTATAAGCATATAAATTGACAATGGACGCAACCAAATGTTTAAGCGCATCCACAGGGACTCAAAAAAAGTGACAGTAAGTTATCACTGAGTTTGTTACCAGCTGGGCTATGGTAATATTTGCAATTTAATTACTGTAACAATGTGATAATCATGATACACAATACAATAACAGTATTAATAATAATATTTAAGTGTCTGGGACCCCCATTTTGTTGTCCAGGACCCCTGAACATTAAGAGTAAGAGTCCCAAGGACCCTCAAAGATAGGACTCCATGTAAATCCCTGTTGTTGGTCCCTGCCTGGCGCTCGGCATTAATGGGTACAACAAGGACTGGTCGGCTCGGAATCAGTATGATGTGTCTAAGTGGGGTATTCATGCTTCACTGCGGCATGGTATCTCAGTGGGCTAGCAGTATAAACCAGCTTAAATCTGGGCTAGTACAAGCAGCCGCACATACACATACACATGCATGCACGTCGTCATATGAGCGAAATATTCTCAAGCATGACGTAAAACCCAATTTCACCTCACCTCACCTCATTATATGAGTTTGTAACAAGGCGTCTTAGTTTAATTTACTGTTTTGGTAAACAGAATAATTGCTGTAAGTAAAGTCAAGAGCAATTTTTTCTAGTTTAATGTTTGAATAATGTTTTTGTTTATTACAGGATGAGATTTATGACCATTTTGTTCAGACAAATACATTTGAAGGTAAAGGCTATCACAAACCGCGACGCGTCCAGGACCTGATATTCTTCCTGATGTGGGCAGTGATCACTTGTGTACCGCTGTTCCACTACCTGGGAGGAATCTTCCTGTCAGGTTCCCTCACGCAGCAGCTCATCTTTGTAGGCGTCGTCGCAATAGGTAGGTGTAGTAGTGTGTTATTACAATAGGTTGGCGGAGCTGTAGTGTGTTAGTACAATAGGTAGGTGGAGCTGTAGTGTGTTAGTACAATAGGTTGGTGAAGCTGTAGTGTGTTAGTACAACAGGTAGGTGGAGCTGTAGTGTGTTAGTACAATAGGTTGGTGGAGCTGTAGTGTGTTAGTACAATGGATAGGTGGAGCTGTAGTGTGTTAGTACAATAGGTTGGTGAAGCTGTAGTGTGTTAGTACAATAGGTAGGTGGAGCTGTAGTGTGTTAGTACAATAGGTTGGTGGAGCTCAATGTTTTAGTACAATATGTAGGTGGAGCTGTAGTGTGTTAGTACAACAGGTAGGTGGAGCTGTAGTGTGTAAGTACAACAGGTAGGTGGAGCTGTGGTGTGTTAGTACATAGGTTGGTGGAGCTGTAGAGTGTTAGTACAATAGGTAGGTGGAGCTGTAGTTGTTAGTACAATAGGTAGTTGGAGCTGTAGTGTGTTAGTACAATTGGTAGGTGGAGCTGTAGTGTGTTAGTAGAATAGGTAGGTGGAGCTGTAGTGTGTGAGTACAATGGGTAGGTGGAGCTGTAGTGTGTTCGTAGAATGGGTAGGTGGAGCTGCAGTGTGTTAGTACAATAGGTAGGTGGAGCTGTAGTGTGTTATTACAATAGGTTGGTGGATCTGTAGCATTATTGCAATGGGTAGATGGAGCTGTAGTGTGTTAGTACAATAGGTAGGTGGAGCTGTAGTGTGTTATTACAGTAGGTAGGTGGAGCTGTAGTGTGTTATTACAGTAGGTAGGTGGAGCTGTAGTGTGTTAGTACAATGGATAAGTGGAGCTGTAGTGTGTTAGTAGAATGGGTAGGTAGAGCTGTAGTGTGTTAGTACAATAGGTAGGTGGAGCTGTAGTGTGTTATTACAATAGGTTGGTGGAGCTGTAGTGTTATTACAATGGGTAGGGGGGAGCTGTAGAGTGTTATTACAATCGGTAGGTGGAGCTGTAGTGTGTTATTACAATGGGTAGGTGGAGCTGTAGTGTTGTTACAATGGGTAGGTGGAGCTGTAGTGTGTTATTACAATGGGTAGGTAGAGCTGCAGTGTGTTATTACAATAGGTAGGTGGAGCTGTAGTGTGTTTGTACAATAGGTAGGTGGAGCTGTAGTGTGTTAGTACAATGGGTAGGTGGAGCTGTAGTGTGTTATTACAGTAGGTAGGTGGAGCTGTAGTGTGTTAGTACAATGGATAGGTGGAGCTGTAGTGTGTTAGTAGAATGGGTAGGTAAAGCTGCAGTGTGTTAGTACAATAGGTAGGTGGAGCTGTAGTGTGTTATTACAATAGGTAGGTGGAGCTGTAGTGTGTTATTACAATAGGTAGGTGGAGCTGTAGTGTGTTATTACAATAGGTAGGTGGAGCTGTAGTGTGTTTGTACAATAGGTAGGTGGAGCTGTAGTGTGTTATTACAATAGGTAGGAGGAGCTGTAGTGTGTTAGTACAATAGGTAGGTGGAGCTGTAGTGTGTTATTACCGTAGGTAGGTGGAGCTGTAGTGTGTTAGTACAATGGATAGGTGGAGCTGTAGTGTGTTAGTAGAATGGGTAGGTAGAGCTGCAGTGTGTTATTACAATAGGTAGGTGGAGCTGTAGTGTGTTATTACAATAGGTTGGTGGAGCTGTAGTGTTATTACAATGGGTAGGTGGAGCTGTAGAGTGTTATTACAATCGGTAGGTGGAGCTGTAGTGTGTTATTACAATGGGTAGGTGGAGCTGTAGTGTTGTTACAATGGGTAGGTGGAGCTGTAGTGTGTTATTACAATGGGTAGGTAGAGCTGCAGTGTGTTATTACAATAGGTAGGTGGAGCTGTAGTGTGTTATTACAATGGGTAGGTGGAGCTGTAGTGTGTTATTACAATGGGTAGGTGGAGCTGCAGTGTGTTATTACAATAGGTAGGTGGAGCGGTGGTGTGTTATTACAATGGGTAGGTGGAGCTGTAGAGTGTTATTACAATGAGTAGGTGGAGCTGTAGAGTGTTATTACAATGGGTAGGTGGAGCTGTAGTGTTGTTACAATGGGTAGGTGGAGCTGTAGAGTGTTATTACAATGGGTAGGTGGAGCTGTAGTGTTGTTACAATAGGTAGGTGGAGCTGTAGTGTGTTATTACAATGGGTAGGTGGAGCTGTAGTGTTGTTACAATGGTTAGGTGGAGCTGTAGTGTTATTACAATGGGTAGGTGGAGCTGTAGTGTTATTACAATGGGTAGGTGGAGCTGTAGAGTGTTATTACAATGGGTAGGTGGAGCTGTAGTGTGTTAGTACAATAGGTAGGTGGAGCTGCAGTGTGTTATTACAATAGGTAGGTGGAGCGGTGGTGTGTTAGTACAATGGGTAGGTGGAGCTGTAGAGTGTTATTACAATGGGTAGGTGGAGCTGCAGTGTGTTATTACAATAGGTAGGTGGAGCTGCAGTGTGTTATTACAATAGGTAGGTGGAGCGGTGGTGTGTTAATACAATGGGTAGGTAGAGCTGTAGTGTGTTATTACAATGGGTAGGTAGAGCTGTAGTGTGTTATTACAATGGGTAGGTGGAGCTGTAGAGTGTTATTGCAATGGGTAGGTGGAGCTGTAGTGTGTTAGTACAATAGGTAGGTGGAGCTGTAGAGTGTTATTACAATGGGTAGGTGGAGCTGTAGTGTGTTAGTACAATAGGTAGGTAGAGCTGTGGTGTGTTAGTACAATAGGTAGGTGGAGCTGCAGTGTGTTAGTACAATAGGTAGGTAGAGCTGTAGTGTGTTAGTACAATAGGTAGGTGGAGCTGTAGAGTGTTATTACAATGGGTAGGTGGAGCTGTAGTGTGTTAGTACAATAGGTAGGTAGAGCTGTGGTGTTTTAGTACAATAGGTAGGTGGAGCTGCAGTGTGTTAGTACAATAGGTAGGTAGAGCTGTGGTGTGTTAGTACAATAGGTAGGTGGAGCTGTAGTGTGTTATTACAATAGGTAGGTGGAGCTGCAGTGTGTTATTACAATAGGTAGGTGGAGCGGTGGTGTGTTATTACAATGGGTAGGTAGAGCTGTAGTGTGTTATTACAATGGGTAGGTAGAGCTGTGGTGTGTTAGTACAATGGGTAGGTAGAGCTCCAATAGCATCTCATAGACTTGCCATTAATGAAAGTGATGCTGTATTTTGAACACAACTTACGTCTGGTATTTGATTGTTTAAATGGAAAGTGTTTCAAATGCCATCATCTTCTGTTTACAGCATCTGTTGGAGTTCGTATGATGATTGCCGTTACAGAAATTAAACAAGGTTCCGAATATGGGAAGAAAGAAAACTAGCCCTCTCACAGGACAGGGAGAGTCCTGGCTTTCAACTGCCCATCTTTTTCTACAATTGCAATCACCAAAGTGTGTGGCACTTCATTGTATATTTTTGAGACAGAATTTTACAAACATGAGTTCTAGTTCTCAAATGTGTAGTTTTGTATGAGTGTGAAAATCTGTTTTATTCCAACCTTGCCATCAACAAAATGCCCATTGATGAGTTTCGTGTGTATCTTCATGTAGTTTATTGCCGAATGTGTACTGAATGCTGCTCAGTAACAAACATACTTGTTACCGTTACGTTTTATTATGTTGATTCATAGTACATGAGAATATGGTTAAAAAATATATACTGATAGGTATATCAAGCATTTAGTTTGAGGTATATTCTGAAAACTGACGTTGATTTCTTTATATTTTTAGATGGAGTAATATCCTGTGTTTGCATGATTTTAATTCATTTATTTTAAATCTCTCTGCATTTTATGGGATTAAAATTTGAATGAATTGCTAATTAAAGTTTAAGCACATCCTGAATCATATGCCCAGAGGTAGAGTTGGGCTCAAAATAAAAAAAAAACTTTAAATTTAGAGACATGCAATATGATAAAATTGGGTATAGTCATTACGTTTCCATTAATTTAACAAGGAATGAAACTGGTTTGGCTGTAATACTCATTATCTTTGGTTTACTGTTACATGTGAATATGTTCACTGATGTCTGGTCATGCTCACCATTATGAAGCATTGCAAAATATTTACCTAACCAAAGTCTGCAAAAAACTGAGTGAAAATTAACAGGAACGTTACGATCATGAGTAGGGCTGGCTTATCGACACAGATCATAGAGATCAAATAACTGTTAACTAAATATCGATAGATTATCGTTAATTACTGGAGGCAATACTTTTAGGAAAAATGCCCCCCAAATGTCTGAAATAAATAAATATATTTAACATCGCAGGTGAGTGGCAATGAATTATTAACAAAACAGCATCCTGAACATAATTTTGAAGCAGACCATGAATAAAGCCTTTGTATATTTTGTGAGAAAATTAAAACGGTTTCAATCTCAATAGTTAATGTATGACATTTTTCATATCGATAATCATTAATAATTTTTCCTATAGACGATATTTTCGATTATCAATCATTTTAGCCAGGCCTAGTCATGAGATAGTTTAACACACAATAAATAGAATGCTGACACATGTGAAAGGTTATTGCATATGTTTGAAAAAAACATATGACCCGGTGTTGGATTTATGCACAGTGTCTTAGAATGAAAGAACAGGGTAGTAGGTCAAGTATTAGATATATTGACTATCGACATGTAGTGCTTTGTCATCTTTATACACAAAGATCAGTAGTAATTGTTTTGTTACCTGTTCTCATGAATGAAATCCAGTGTTCTGTTGTCCATTAAAACAGAAAATACATGCAAAGATATCTTATGATTGAGGTGACTTCTGAAATTGTCATGCACATTCGCAAACTTGGTATGTTTTATTGTTTGTGGATTGTATGGCTTGTTGCTTATGATATCGACCACTGGTTTCCTTGCAGCAAACTCGATGACATACATCCCTATGTGGTATGGTTGGAATATTTTTGTTTGCGGCATAAAACAACATATCCCCATGCTAGTTATTGGTTCATATTGATGGGTCACAATATTAATTATAAGATTTTCATCCAGTTTTAAATAAATATAAGGTTGGAGGCAACTGAATGTTTTTAATGAGACAATCATGGCATTAAGGGGGTGGTGGGGTAGCCTAGTGGTTAAAGTGTTCGCTAGTCACGCCGAAGGCCTGGGTTCGATTCCTCACATGGGCACGATGCGTGAAGCCCATTGCTGGTGTCCCCCATCAGGATATTGCTGGAATAATTCTAAAAGCGGAGTAAAACCCAACTCACTCACTCACTCACTCATGGCATTATGTAACAATACCTTTTGATGGGTCTGACTTAGATGAAGAATGAATGTATGGAAAGTGTAGACTGAATTTCATCCAATAATTCTCACAGTAACACCATCTGTGGTTACGTTTGTACGATAGCATGATGTGAGGGAGGGTGGTAACAATAAGGATGGGGATGAAAATCCAATAATTAATTCATTGTGACCTAACATATCTGCTATATGTACATTGTTTGCAAGTTAGTAATCTTAACTAACTCCTGGAGCCATTCTGATAATCTCGAATTATCTGCCCTTGATTTTCAAGGACATTTTACCGACCAATCAAACATCACAATAAGGAAAAGGTGAATCAGTATGATGTGTAACCCATTTTGAAGCCAGTTTGACGGATGTGAAGACGTCCTTTCATTGGCTTTTTCGTCAGTTTTCAATGTGGAAATTCTTGCAGACTTGATCGTAATGGTCCGGACACCACATTGAGGCTGGTTAGTAACGCACATACTGATTGTTCTTACCCGTTAAGGTCCGGGTTCTAGAATTGATCTTCAGCAACCCATGCTGTCGTAAGAGGCGACTAACAGGATGGGGTGGTCAGGCCTGTGACTTGGTTGACACATGTAATCGTATCCCAATTGCGTAGAGCAATGTTCATGCTGTTGATCACTGGATTGTCTGGTCCATTATTTACAGACTGCCGCCATATAGCTGGAATATGGCTGAGTGTGACGTTAAACGACGAACAAACAAAGGAAGCTGATTGTTCTGGAACGATGATTAGCATGCAAATGATATTCAATCATGAGAATCAAGAGCAGGTGATTTGAGATTCTGACAACAACAGAATGGCTCCGGGATTTAGTGTAGGATTGCCAAAATGCAATCCTCGGAGTTAATTAGGTCGAGCCTCGTAGAATATAGTCTGCTGTTCATTCCATAACACGGGCTACTCTTATGTAAATAAGAGCCCTGCATTTATTTGTGTATGAGCTCAGGACAATTGTATATACTGATGATTTTAACACAATATATTCACTTCTACTTTACTTGTTGAATATATGCAATTACTTCTACTTGTACAGTTGATCCAGTTTGAATGGAATTGTGTATATTCTTGTACGTGTATACTACTCCTAAGGACGTGCTTTTCATTTGACTATGGTTAATCTGTCATCACGTGACTATAGACGTATGTATAGACAATGGATGTTCCTATATTCTTTTGAGTAGTCTGCGTCATTATTTATTAGTTCTAAGGCTACGACAAAGTGATTATTTTGAAGTTGTTTGGTATCCAGATGAGATAATTCTGTAATTCTGTCAATGTAAATTAATATCTGAGAAATATTAAATAATCATTATTATTGGATATTTATATAGCGCACATATCCACGCACTAGTGCATGCTCAGGCGCTGGTATTTTTCCCCTCGATCATTGGATGTCAATCTCAACGGCACATCTTATTATCAATCTCAGCTCCCTGGGGATCATACAACTCTTGCTGCCACGAGGCGCACCAAGTTATTGCGGCTTTCTCATCCTCACGAGGTACCCAATCACAGCTGGGTGGACTGGGACACATAGTCACAGTACTTTGTCCAAGTTCACTGCACGTTGTTGTACCCGGAACTAGCTAGGTGTTTGCACATATTCATGTGGTCACCATCTGGTCATATACCAACAGATTCGTGGGTTCTTTTAAGTGCACAGGGTTGTGTACTGTACACTAGGGGTTGTGACAACACTGAAATATTCAACAGGTGTCCAGCTGGAGATGAAATTAATTATTTTCAGTGATTTTCAAACTTAATAGTTATATTTAGAAACCTAGATGATTGATTTTCTATTTGCTGGGGATGTTTTAGTGTGTTAGAAATTAGTTAATCTGTCAAGGTCACATCCTTCATGTGATCTCCAGCAGGAATGAGGTTGTAGCCACAGAAAGATGGTTGTAGCTCCATGATATGGAAGGGTGGTTTGGTAGCACAGTGGTTAAAGCTTTTGCTCGTCATGCTGAAGACCCCGGGTCCGATTGCCCGCATGGGTACATTGTGTGAAGCCCATTTCTGGTGTCCCCCGCCGTGATATTACTGGAATATTGCTAAAAGCGGCATAAAACTAAACTCACTCACTTACTGTTAATTTGGTGGGGTGGTTAGTTAGCCTAGTAATTTGAGCATCCGCTTGTCACGCTGAAGACCCGGGTTCGATTCCCCACATGAGTACAATGTGTGAAGCCGATTTCTGGTGTACTCCGCCATGATATTGCTGGAATATTGCTAACAGCAGCATATAAAACCATACTTACTGACTCACCTAATTTGGAACTACATTGTTTGGTTTGTTCACTGGCTATTTTCTGTGAACTGTCCATACCTGTTTCCTGACAATGATAAATAAATTATACAAGAATGGTGCCTACAAATGGATAATCACTTTGTCATTGCCTACAGACACTTGTGAGAAGGTCTGTTGATAGACAGTATTACTGCAATACCTAGTTTCATATCTTAGTCAGGAAACGTGTCACCCGTAAATGCATGTGTCCGCTGATATTGCTTTCAAGATCATTCCAAAGTATAATTTGAGAATTGATTGTATTTATCAATGTTATTAATTGCTTCACTCTGCAATTTTCATATCTATTTTTGTTATCCAATTTGTCTGCAGAACAACATACATGTTATACAGCATTCCTTGAGGTGTATGCATGCTTGTGTCTTAAGGGATCAGTAGAGAAGGATTATTTAGTATCACTGTGTAGAGAATTTGAGTATTTAGAGAAATGGTGTAGCAGTTATTAGAAAGGAGTTTTTCCATGTTTCGTGATGATATACATGGAAATGTGGTATTAGAAATCTGAAATTATGTATTAGTTACAGCAACCCTAGGTATTAGTTACAGCAACCCTAGGTATTAGTTACAGCAACCCTAGGTATTAGTTACAGCAACCCTAGGTATTAGTTACAGCAACCCTAGGTATTAGTTACAGCAACCCTAGGTATTAGTTACAGCAACCCTAGGTATTAGTTACAGCAACCCTAGGTATTAGTTACAGCAACCCTAGGTATTAGTTACAGCAACCCTAGGTATTAGTTACAGCAACCCTAGGTATTAGTTACAGCAACCCTAGGTATTAGTTACAGCAACCCTAGGTATTAGTTACAGCAACCCTAGGTATTAGTTACAGCATTTGGCTTATCTCACGGTCATATACTAGAAACCCTGAAACCGGGTTACACAACCCTTCTGGTATTAGTTTGCTGGAATATTGCTAAAAGCGGTAAAACCAAACTCAGTCAGTCAGTCAGTTCAGGGATGGCAGCTACAGCTAATGAGAAAAACTGAAATTCTGTGACCCCACCCCCAAAACACCCCCAGCCTCCCCTTTCGATGACACAATAGTAAGTTTTAAGTCAGTTGAAAATAGATTTTTCTGTTGCCATCCCTGTACTTAGCACATACATACACATGCTTCAAGTTGAAGTGGTGTACAGTAACTACGATTATAACAATCTTGAAGGCACCACTAATTCTGTTATGTTAGAACTGTAGTTTGTGATACAGATACTGACTAAAATATGCAGCGAGTGGCTTGGACCAAAACAGCAGTTCAATATGTCTGTCAGTTCGTCATGCGGTCGTTAGTTATGTACCGTATATCAACACAGATAAGCCGATCTCTGTCACATTGTGGTCTACAACATGACCAAGCTTGGAATTTCTCTTTGACATCATTTTACATTTTAGAATACTAGTAGATTGTCTTTAGTTGAGCCAAAATATATTTTATTTGACAATGGCTTTGAACTAGGATGGTATGCCCTGCTGATTATGTAGCTGTGCGTTGAAAGTAAGAAACATTTAACTGACTGTTTATGAACTATTGAAGGCTTGGTCAGCCGAGTGTTTTGGCGTTGGATGGAATGCCGTCATGAGTTAAAATCCAGCAAGACCTTGGCTGATTTCAGAAGAGTATTATAACAACTAGATCCAAATTGTCTCAAGTTTTTCGCTCGTCTCGGTCGTTTAACAGCGGTGTCCTAATGCCTAGAATTTAGGTAGGGGAATTGATATTACTCATTTCCTTATCCCAGGTGGTAAAAACGTGAGACAATAAGTGTTGATGTCTCCTTATGTGTAAGTGTAAGGACATTTATGTTTTCAAATTACAGATTTGTCTCAGTTGTGGTTCATACTGTTGATAAATGCTTTCACTAAAAAAGTATGTTTACAATCTCCCACATAAAATGTCACTCTCTGTGATAAATGGTAGGACTTGTCCAGGACGCTATCCCACCTGCAGGATAGGGAGAAGCTGTGTGTAGGATGCTTTGTGGTTGTGTCATCTTATTGTGCTGGGGGACAGTGGGGTAGCCTAGTGGTTAAAGCATTTGTTTGTCACACCGAATACCTGAGTTCGATTCCTCACATGGGTACAATGTGTGAAGCCCATTTCTGGTGTCCACCTAAGTGATATTGCTGGAATATTACTAAAAGTGGCGTAAAACCAAACTCACTCACTCACTCACTCATTGTGCTGGCTGCTGTGCTTTGTTCTGCTGTCAGTCCCAAGACCTCCCTAACATTCCTGCATCAGGGATTTCGGTCAATGCTGGATCTGGAATTCCGTGGATGCTCCACAAGTTTGGTCATATCTAGGGGGAGTGTGGAAATTGTTAAGTTTTGATAGCCCAGCTGTTGTAATGAAACACTTTTAAAGGTATTATCCTACCTGTATGAATGATATCTTGCCACGTGTTGTGTTGTCTGAAATATGAAATTCCACTGTCATTTTATTATATTCGTTAAGGAGCTATTGCCAATTATTACCTTTTCTTGTTGTTGAATGTTTCAGAGTCATTTTGATTTGTTTTAATAATATGAACACTTCATTAATTTTGTCATAAATTTTGTGTGTTCGTGTGTTGAATTTCCTCTGTCCTAGAGGGTGATGGTAGCTTAGTGGTTAGTGTTGGCTCATCACGCCGAAGGCCTGGGTTCGATTCCCAACATGGGTACTATGTGTGAAGCCCATTTCAAGTGTACCCTGCCATGATATTGCTGGAATATTGCTAAAAGCGGTATAAAATCATACTCACTCGTTTACATGCATTTTGGGTTCAGTTGTACTAGTGAGTGAGTGAGTGTCACAGGAAACACCAGAAATGGACTTCACATATTGTACCCACATGGGGAATCAAACCCAAGTCTTTGTTGTGATGGCTACCCACCGCCTCTTCTATGTACTGACCCATGAAGATCCGTGTTAGAATTGGTCTTCAGCAACCTGTGACTCTAGAAATCTGGGAATTTAGGTTGAGACTGCCAAATAATTCTGTTTGTTTTCACAGGAGGTCCAGCATGTCCAGCAAAATTGTATTTTGGGTGAGAGTATGTTTAGGACAAAATATTTTCCACAATATCTTGTTCTTGTAAAGCATAGACCCTGTTGATATCAAATGATCTGTCTCTTAAGATGATATATCTCATATGTAAGACATTTTGGTATCCAAGTGAATCAACAAGACCCAATAAGATGTTAAATATGTCAACTCTTGTTATAACCGGAACAGGTTCATTTTTAAAACTGGCTTCAGGCCCTTAGGGGGGGGTACTAGGAATAATTGAGGCACTAAGGGGCAGCCTAGTGGTTAAAGGGGATGCTCACAACACCGAAAACCCGGGTTCGATTCCCCACATGGGTACAATTGTGAAGCCCATTTCTGGTGTCCCCTCCATGGTATTGCTGGAATAGGGCTAAAAGTGTCGTTAAACCTTACCCACTCACTGACCAGAAAACAATACCGCAGCATCACACCTTTGTGTGTTTCACCAGCATGGTGAAGACAGGCATCACTTCAGATGTTCTCTCTCATCAAGCCGACGCAGGGTCATGGAAATGAAATATTGTTCACAGCTGTCTAGGACCAACCACTGTTATGGAGGAGTTTGTTTTTGAACAGTATCACTCCTCTGTACAAACATGTTTTTGTAATCAGCTAAATTGCGAAATGCTTTCTGACATCAGAACTTCAGTTTATATTTTGATCATCATGCTGAGAATCCAGTACTTTTGTTTTTGCCTGAATGGAGAAGAGTTCAGATTTAGATTACTTTAAAATGAAATATTTTTCAGAACTGTCATTGCTTTTACAATTGACATATATAAGTGTAAACTATATATGATAATATGTCACTAAATGAATGAAGTGGTTTCTGTTTTATTGCCAAGTAGAGTGATATCGTTACTGTTTTATTGCTATCTATTTCTTATATTTGTATATTTTCACTTAAGTTATTTTATGTTCTTATTGTTAATAGTTTCCAGTTGGAACACAATTTTGTAAACATTGCTTAGAATTGAATGCAGTGAAACATGACTGAATAAAATAAAATCGAAGCACATGTCTGTCTTTACTTGTATGCATCAACCTTAATCCTGAAGAGATGTTCCATGCAACCTTAAATTGGTGTTAAT